TATTTTATTAAAAGTAAAAATAAATAAATAAATATTAATAAATATCATTAATTTGTATAAATAAAATAGATTATTATAATATTATTAAAATTGATAAAGTTAAAAAATAACAAATACAAAAAATAAAGAGAGAAATAGAGATATTGGAAAGGGAGAGAGAGATAGAGCAAGAGAGAAGGTGAGGGAGAGAGGAAGAGTGAGAAAGGAAGAGGAAATACCTAATTTTTTATGCATTATTTCTTATATCAACTTTGTATTGCAATCATCTACTAGATCTTTAACTTTGTGAATTTTTTCATCTAACATAGATTGTTGCACAAAAAATTTCAAATTACATATAATAAAATAAATTAAATACATAACATATTTACTACACAACAAATTACAAATCACTCACATAATAAATCTCATGTGACTTATTTAAAATTAATATTAAAAGTAAAATAATATAAAAAATTAGGCTAACCAATCCATCCTAAACCGAAATCTTAAACAATGTAAATTTTTTTTTTGAGTAAATAATGTGTGTATTTATTTCAATTACAAATTATTATTATTATTATTATTATTATTATTATAAATTAGCTTAAATAACATTTTATTTCGTATAAAATAAGAGTTTTTGATATTAGTCTTTTTATTTTTGTAATTTTTTATTTTTTTTATCCTTATCGTTAAATTGATTGTTAAATCTAATGAAAAAAATTCCAGGAACTAAAACTAAAAAATAAGAAAATTATAGGAGTCAAAATAAAAAAAAATATAAAATAAAAAAAACTAAATTTTGGGAGATAAAAATAGCTAAATTTAAGAGGATTAAAATAAAAATAGTTAGAGTTAAGAGGATTGAAATTAAAGTAATCTTATTTTAAAGGGATTAAACTTGTATTTAAACTAAATTTATAAAATTTAAACATTAATTTGTATTTAAATAAAGTAAAAAAATCATATTTCTTTTAATGACCATCTAAACATATTAAGTCTGGTATAATTGATAAAGTCATGTTCATTTTTATAATAATATGATAAAATAGAGAGTGATAAAAACAAAATATAAAATATGACATACTTGTCAATTAATGAATAATAACATATGAGCTTGAAATGATAAAAAAAAAACTTTTTTGTATTTAATGTAATCTACAAGAGATATCTATATGATGTAGAAAGATGAAAAGAATGTTATATAATTTTATTCGTTCTTCGTTCATTTCTTTATTATTTCGTGCAATGATTCATTTTGTTGTCATTACCTTATTTTATGTATAATTTTACTTTATTTTACTTATTTCTTATATTTACATTTTAAGAAGTTGTGTTTACTTTTTATAATTTTTTTTACTAGTCATCAATAAAAATATTATAGTTATTTTTTTTAATTATGTATTAGTTTATTTATTGTATTTAAAATTTTAAATTTTATAAATTTGACGAAAATAAATATTTAGTCACCATAAAGTATGGTTGATATTTTATTTTATTTTTTCTTTTTAATTTTATTTATTTTTATTTTAGTTCTCTCAAATTTTTGTTATTTTCATTTTGGTCCTATCAAATTTTAGTTATTTTAATTTTAGGGGGGTGTATTGGTTTAGGATTTCGTAGGATTTTAAAAGACTTTTTTTGAGTAAAAAAGTCCATTGGTATTCAATCAGGATTTTATGTCACTTAAAAACAATCCAGTGGTATTC